TCCAATCTCTGGACCCGGTCTGTAGGTTTACACAGGCCTTTTATAGGCTGCCAGATTTACACTTTGCAACATCATATGCAAATAAAGTACAATAGAAGTTGACGAACCAGGAACAAGCTTTGTAGAAATAGACCAATCAGGAGTGAGCTCTATGCAAAATGAAGTACTACAAATGGACCAATCAGAAGTTAGGGAAGTGGACCAATCAGAAGTGAGAGTAATAACCAATCAGGAGTGAAGGAACTAACCAATCAGAAGTGAGCTCAGGGAACCAATAGAATCTAGATGTAAGTTAGCCTCTTTAGAAGCAAGAGTGAGATAGAGCCTCTGGGACAGGGAACCAGACAGTGCTAAGAGGAGAGCGGTGGCCCTGCCTAGGGGTCCTGCCAGTCTTTTTATGGGGCTTCCAGCTTTAGTCCGTCGCCCTTAGCAGGGCATCAAGTCTTTAGTGCAGGATTTTTTACCTTATTTATCTTCAAATTTCAGCACCCATTCCAATACTTGAGATAAATTGGAACTAAATAAGTACATTTCAAAGCAATGCATATGTGAATGTGTAGCTTCCATGGATTTAACGTCCGTGCTTTTCTCCTTCCATTCTTTCTTTCAGCAACCTGTGGGTTGGATCATGGCCTCAGTCCTCAGAAAATTTCTGGCATGAGTCACAGGTCATATGAATTAAATGCATTTTCCCTGTCTGCTTCTGACCCTTCTTTAAGCTACAGATGTTGGAAAGTTGTGAAAAGTAACAGCAGTCATCAAATAGCAGTTTAATATTTTTCTGCACAAAAGGTCATCAAAGGAGGCACTGCATTTTTCTTCCAAGTTAAAAGGGATAATGGAGCCATGAAGATGAAGAAGAAGAAAGAGAAGGTGGAGGAGGAAGGTGGGAGCAGAACAAGAACAAGGAGGAAGAGGAGCAGAAATGTGTTTGATAACATTCAGAATGGTAAAAATTCCAGTTATGATCCAGGAACGTGGGCAGTCTAACATGGTTCCTTAGTACAGCACGGTTCCACTCTCCACCCGTCCTTGTCACAGATTGACCGGGTTCAAAGGAGTAGCCTGTCCATATCTACGTTATGAGGCTGATCTCAAAGAAATAATATTTTGAGATTTTTCTGTCCA